GGCGCATAGATAGATAGATAGATAGATAGATAGATAGATAGATAGATAGATAGATAGATAGATAGATAGATAGATAGATAGATAGATAGATAGATAGAGTAAAATGGATTGATGGTAAGACGGAAGGATGGATGGATGGATCGATAAAGAAAGAAAAAAAGAAAGAAAGAACAAAAACAGAAGATGGCGTTATTCACCAGCGAAAGAAAGAAAGACAGAAAGAAAGACACAAAGAAAGACAAAAAGAAAGAGAAAGAGGGAAAGAAAGAAAGAAATGAAAAAAGAAAGAAAGAAAGAAAAAGAGAAAGTGGCGTTATTCACCAGTTTATGTCAGGGGGGCTTACAATACATAACATTGGCATACAGATGGATAAACATTTTAAGCGATTTCCTGAACAGATTTTTGCTGACCTTAGCTCCTATTTTCTTTTATGCCCATCGTCTTCCCACGATGGCAGATGAACGTTTCAAACGTTTTTGTATGCAGAATTTCGTTGGCCTAGCTATTAATTTTTGAAAACTCAGCGTCTCACCACAAAAGCCCAAATCAATTTTTGGAATTTTCCAAAGCTGCCATTGGAACGAAAGCTCCATGGGGGATCTTACAACAAACTTCCATTTTGTTTCGTTGCGTCCATCAATTCTAGTGTTTATTTATTTATTTACCAATTTATTTTTATCGCAAGTGCCATTGTTAGGAATCTTATTTCGGGCGATCTTTCCCCCCCTTTTTCTTGGACATTTTCCAAACTTCAAAAAATTGAACGAGACGCTCATAACACGACACTGTCAATAGAAAAAAAATCTTCTAACACACTGAAAGAATTCTCTATAATAATAAATAGCATTTATATTGTGCAAATTCACGCTAAACGGAAAGTTCCATTCGCTTTACAACCTATTATTATTATTATTATTATTATTATTATTATTATTATTATTATTATTATTATTGCATCAGCTGCAGATCTGAAAGCGTTCTGAAACAATCTCAACCTCCTGGGAAGCATACAGATGCTATCATGTTCCGTCTTTTTGTGTGTCTATTTTCATCCCCCTTTTTCAAGCTGCCACCTACGCAACGCACTTGACATCGTGTGACTCAAAAGCACCGTTTATATCCGTGTCCTACATTCTCTATAACAATGTCTCTGTTTCAATTCCATCTTTCTGTGTGTATATTATGTGTATGTGTTGTTGTTTGTGTGTGTGTGTGTGTGTGTGTGTGTGTGTGTGTGTGTGTGTGTTATATATACATATATATATATATATATATATATATATATATATATATATATGTGTGTGTGTGTGTGTGTGTGTGTGTGTGTGTGTGTGTGTGTGTGTGTGTGTGTGTGTGTGTGTGTGTCTTTCTCTGTCTCTGTCTCTGTCTCTGTCTATCCTCTACTCCTCTCTCTGCCTCTTTCACTGTCTGTCTGTCTCTTATTGTCTCTGTCTTTCTGTCTCTTTCTTTACCCCAGAGTCTCTATCTCCCCATCCCTCCCCTCTCTCCCCTTCTCTCTTCCACTCTCACTCTCTTTCACTATCTCCTCACTCTTTCTTTCACTCTCTCTCTCTTTCTCTCTCTCTCTCTCTCTTTCACTCTCTCTCTCTTTCACTCTTTCTTTCTCTCTATCTCTCTCTGTTTCTCTCTCTCTGTTTCTCTCTCTCTCTCTCTCTCTCTCTCTCTCTCTCTCTCTCTCTCTCTCTCTGGACTATCCGCCAAATCACAGTCATTGGTCAGGTTGACCCGACACAATTTACATTATAAACCCTATCCGTACATCCTGGGGTCCTTTTATACCCCCGTGGTTGTATTCTTCACATTTTAGAATACTTCTAGTATGAAGATCTCTTTGAAAATTCCAGTATTTCTCAAAAATTCATTTTGGGAAACTGCTAAGCAAAGCGTACGGATCGGATTAACGAGTAAATTTCCTGTTTGGAAAGTGGCGGCACAGAGTTCTCCACGTCGTATGGATACGATAGTAAAACACGACGTACGAATAGGGTTTTAAGGAAGCGGGATTCGACCCCATCTGCCAGGGCTAACCTGAGATGTGAAGGAAACAACATACCAAAAGACAGACAGACAGACAAACAGAAAGACAGGCAGACGGTGATACCGAATTAACAGATCCTTCCCACTGAGGACTCGAACATAAATCTCCCTTGTGCAACAACGAAACGCCTAAGGCCCCAAATCCACTTGCATTTTTCGTCAGTTGCAGACCAGGCTCATATATGCAGGTGAGCTCGTTTGCGTCCGTCACTGACTTCCTTTGCATGACTACGCGATTTTTCTGCATGCACGTTTTTTCGTCAGCCATACAGGTTACTAAGAAAGCCTCGATTCGACTCATTTTGAAAGGAAATTTGCATCTGTATGAACATGTTTGCTTCTTCATTGCACTTTACATTATCAATAAAGTTGTATTTCATTATAATATGTTGTACAATAGTAGATTTGTGCTAAAAAAAACAGCAAAAAAAAATAGAATTTAAGCACTTGACCTAGATTATTTCGTTCTCTTTTTTTATCACAGTGGCCGGCCAACTTGACTTAATCAAGCTTTTACAAAGCATCATCAAGTGCCAGATCTGCTACAGACATCAGTGATCATGGCTTTCTTTTCATTCCACGCTCGGACGCTCAAAAAAAAATCCCAGCTACTTTACCCTTATCTTTCCCTGTCACCCATCTATTCAGGTTCTCTAAGGAAATTGCTCTGGGTGCCAGTGAGAGCTAGATGTCCAATGCATTAATGTCTATGTAGGTGTCCCAAAAATTGCATTTGTCTTTTCCTGATTTTTTTTTTTTTCGTATCAGCGAGTCGCCCACGTGGGCCTCATCAAGTACTTTCTCATTTGATTTCTTTTCCTTCAAATATATTCTCTGCATTCTTAAAAGGCATAAAACAACTAAACACGAAATACTCACAATGCCATGGTCGAAGACTGGGGTGTTTCTGTAGACAGGATTCAAACAGATTTTAATTTTAAGGGGAACAAAAAGAGATTTTTTTGGTGTGCTCTGTTAGGAATTCTAAGAAGCCAGAACAACTGAAGCCAGAGGTACACAGCTTCAAAGCTGAACTGGCGCTTTGTATGTATGTTTGTGTTTCTATGTGCGCGCGCGTGTGTTTGTGACGGGGGAAAGCGCCTCTTCAAGGTCCAAACACTAGTTGTGCATCAGTTTTTATAGTATTATTAGTCCTGTCATCTACGCCAGGAAATAGCTTTATCTAATGTCCATATTTAGAGTCTATGATTGTCTACTGTTGTCCGCGCTCTCCGTCACGGAAGAATAAACAACTTCCGATCTGAATAATAATGCAACTCATCTCAAAGCATCCGCCTCGTCATTATAATTTCGATAAATGCACAGTCATCTTAAAGTACACTGTCTAATTTCCTGCTAGAATGAAATAACTTGACGAACAAAAAATCATTATCCAACGTTATGCAACCATGATAATAAAGATGATAATGATATAATAAGGCGGATGAATAATAATGATTTAGTATTTACAAAAGTACCAGGACGTTGGCAGTGGTACTTGAGGCCAGCTAGCTTGTTTATCAACAGGAATAACAATAAACTCTGTTGCACCCGCTCTAGTTGCCAACTGCCTAAGACAATCACCTGTACAAACGACTGCTCCCCTGTTCCCTTTGCATTATATGACTCTGTCCACTACGTCCAACATTCTAAGATAACTACTTTTCATTTTCCTTGAGAACGGATGGCCATCTTGGAAACATTTTCCTGCAGTTGCGTTTGAATCTAAAACACAATGCCATGGCGAGAGGAAGTCCTCCCGATGCAAAAATACTCAACGTTAGGGGGGAAAACACTGTCCTTGGGCAACACTTTAAACATCTTAAGTACAATCTTGGGATTTCTCAACTGAGGTGATATACTGGCAGCTTCTGCAATTTGTGTAGGCTAATCGTAATTGTATCTTACTATGCTAGTAACGCTTGGTAACGCCAATGATGATACATGTTATGTATCATCATTGGTAATGCTTACTCAAAATTGCTAATAGAAAGGCCCAGACAACCAACTATAGCATTTTAACGATTCAGTTAACACTTTAAAATAAAGTAAGTGCAGTCTAGACGAACTATTGTCGTGTACCTTAGAGTAGATTTAATACACTTATTTGTATTACTCTGTGCTTTTTTTTTACCAATCGTTCAATAACGTAGAATTCGGGTCCATAATCCTTTAGACCCAACTGACACGCTCAGAATTCCCCAGGCTGGGTATTTTCAACCCTAATTTGGAGTTTTACACCCTTTAACTGACTATAGAAAGGGGAGGGCTACGAAGGGAAAACAGATAGGCCTTGATATAAGTGACATTTGCGTAATGACCATCTTGTTTTCGACAAAGCAGGAAAAAACAGAAAGAAAAGAAAAAAAAAAAAAGCAAGAACAGTGGGTTTGGGGAAGGGAGATAGAACTTGGGTTTAAAGTTGGCCTAAAAGTGATATAAAATCTGAGCGCGTCAACAATTAGCACTATTGTACGCACAAATTGAAAATCAAAACTTCTGTTCAACATAACGGGACTTCTTGGTATCTATTTCTGGTGGCGCAAAAAAAAATGCGCCTTTTTTTCAATTTCACCTTGCGATTTAGCGAGTAGACTGAAACAGATATAAAAAAAAGAAGAAAAAGCAGCAGAGAATGGTTGAGAAAAGTCGGTCAGAAGGACGGGCAGACAGAAAGGAAAATCATTTTGTGTAATACAATAAAGACGCAAATACAGTGTTCTTATACAGTTTGTATGTTAGTTATTTAGTGCCCATAAAAATTGGCAACTTGCACATGCTTTCCAGGAAGTTGATACTGTTTCAGAATGCTATCAGCAAGTCTTCTGGGGTAATAATATAGATTGCAAAGCGCACAGAGCTTGTTGTTGAGACGGGATTTATGCCATACAAATGCTATCTATTAATGTTATTGTTATACAGTCTGAAATCTCTTCAGTGCTAACTAGATATTGTCCTTAAAGTTGGCTTTTACAACTTTTTAAACTTTGCTTTTTTCAAGTTCCGTAACATTATGTGGAGAAGAATTGTTGAATTGTAATGCGCGTTACATTTTGTGCTAAACAAAGCGCATATAAACCCCCCACTCCGGGGCACACTGGATCAGAGGGGGCTATGTGAATCAGTGCTGATACCTTCTTTAATTGATTGAGAATGCATAAGCAGTCCATGCATACTACAAGTTGATTTCTCCTTCAGTGAACAAAAAAGTGTAGGTAGTCCTTCGTTGCCGAAGATGACGATAAATCCTGCAGCTCATCTGTGGATGCGAATGTGGCTGTGCCTTCCGATCCTCGATGAACAAAGTGTGTTGCAGTGGGGACACTGGAATGTCGTGGTTGTGGAGGTTGGATTATGTCTCCTCTCTCTTCTGATAGTCAGCTTCTCCCTGTAGTTGTATCGCTGTTTCTGCTAGCAAGACGGGCGGCCCTGCGCCTAGCGTTCCTTTCGGTGGCAGTTCTTTCGAGGGGTAAACAAAAAGTTTTGTACTAATTTCCTTTACAACTTTGAACAAAATTCCTGTTTGAATGTGTTTGATCCACTGTGCCCCCACTCCCCTTATACCCAGTTCACGCGGCCGGTCGGGTTCATCGGACGGAATGTAATCATTAGTACTTTTCTTGAATTGATAAATCTATTATTACGATTATTACTATTATT